AAATTTGATAATTAATCGTAGCGTGCAAGACCGTTTACGAGGTTTGACCATGCCTTGATCTTATCAGTCATGTGCCTCGATGATTGCATCTATAAATTAGATCCGCATATATACAGATCATGTCTCTCGATGATCTTGCGATAATATTGTATGCAAAAGACACATTTCGCCTAATCCAATAACGATTTATCGTTCTAATTGAAATAGCAAAACGTATGATGAATTATAACAAAGTTTCAAAGATTAATTTCAGATTAATCGATTTGAATTTCACAAACTGGCGAATAGTTCCTACTAGAAGATTTCAAAGTGTTAAAAATAAAATATCGATTGCTTCGAGAATAAAAGGAAAAAATGCTATTTCGAGCCGCCTTGTACCTTTTTTATTCGAGCCATTCCTTTCCATCCGACCAAACATATCCCATAAAATACCAAACTGCCGTGTTCTAAAACGTACACGATTCGCTCCTCCGTGTACGGGCGAAGAATCGATCGAACAACTATAGAATCTTTAGCAGGAATCGGGCAAACCGTTTTCCAATCGAATACCGGGAAGAAACACGAAACGTTGCTGGGGATTAGCATAACAAGATTCCACGTGTAATGCGGGCACGCCACCGACTTGCCACAGATTTGCATGGTCCATTTAAACACAATTTCTTTTCCTCGATCAAGAAATTGCGCAATCCCCTCCCACCTTTGGACGTGTTGCGGGGCACACGGCGTCGAGATGGATTAAAGGGGTTTGCGTTAAAGCAATCTTTTCCAAAGGGGGAAAAAAAAAGGAAAAAAAAAAAAAATCGACGATTCTTCCACCCTTACACGCCCTACCATTCTCTTGTCTCGAATCTCGCGTGTTATGCTAATTAATTCCGGCTCTATATTAATCGCTGTACCCCTTCATGTTGGTACCGCGTGATAGACAGCCCTGCCTCGAATAATAAAAGCCCCTTTATTTTTCTGTTTTCGTTAATGTAAGAAAAGGGTTGCCCATTAATTATGCAATCTCGCCGCGAGATACGGGTTTTAATTAAACGGGGGGAAATATTAACGTATATTTATTTATAGAAGAAGATTGATACGTTTTTAGGCGCGTCGTTTGCATAATGTATGAAAATTGCACTGAATTTTAAACAATTCAATTTGTATGTATTTATCAGCAGGCGGGCAAAATACACGGGCAATTTAGATTTCAAATTAGTGGAAAAATTCATTAGGAACGGATTGGGCGGGGGAGGAACGGTATTTCGGCGAGATTGTTTATTATGAATGAGCGGGCTTTGCGCGCCGCGTGGAAGGATCGAGTGTTTGAAATTAGAGTATCGAGGAATAATAAAACAGAGATGTTGGCGAAATTTTTTTTTTCACTTTATTACTCGAGTCAATCCAAGCCGCGGAAACTCGTCAAATTGTGCGTGGCACGACGTAATTATATTAAAATTCTTAAAATCCATCTAAAAAAAAAAAAAAAGAAATTGAATTCCTTCGTTCGCGTAGATCCTCCAAGTACAATAAGAGCGTGCACGGTCAGACTCTCCGAGCAGAGAAAAATCCCAATACGATTTCACGAACAATTACGTATCTCCCCTCGGAAAATATTTCAACGATACATTTTACCTCGCGGCCCGTATCGATTACCGAATCCCCGTGGCTGTTCGGATTCAAAGGTAAAAGAGGGAACGAATCTCTGAAATTTCCGCTTCCTGGACGAAAAGTAAACGGCGCCCGTTTTCTTCCTCGCCGCGGTATCCAACGTCTGGAACTACTTCCACCACCCGTGAGAGGTTTTCGCGTCGTTTTTCACTCGCCGGTTCACGGCCGGCTACCGATAAACGAAAACCGAGAGAGGATAGAAACCGGCCGGCCGAATCCTTCCGAACAAATGCTCGGAACGTGTTGCGTGTGTGTGTGTGCGCGCGTGTGTAGATGCGGCGCGTTTTCGCCGTTTCAAGCGATCTGCAAACACGGATCTGTGTGTGGATTACGTGTAAGTATCGCGAAACGGTAAAAATAAGCGGGCGGAAAGGGGGATCGAAGGGAATCGGGGAAGGCGCAATCCCGGCGGACTTGCGCGCCAACGCGTATCTCTCCGCATCGTGAATCGACTAACTGCGGTCCGATTGTCGACGGAGGTGCAAATTTACCACGCCGCGTTTGTTTTTTCGTTTTGTTCGGAGACGGCCAGTTGGCGATTTAAGCCGAGAATGGGCGGAGAGTAGGCGGATGAAAAAGCGGTTTCCGGGGTTTTAATTAATCGGAGGTTTTTGTATGAAGGTTTTCGAAGAATGCAAATACGAAGGTTTAGTTGAGAAATAGTTGAATGAGATTCGCATCGCGGGTGAAGATTTCATCGAGTACATCGATGGAAGTTGGCGATGGAAAAGGAAAAGATTCTTTTCTGAGTTTACTAAATTCTATTGGAATTTTGTAGAAAATGGATTTAGAGACGCTTTATCTTGTGATTTTGTACTCGCGTAGTTTCGTAGCGTGAAGTTTGGAACAAATTAAAATCGACGAAGGATAGGATTTAATTTTGTAAGGATTCCCTTGTCAAAGATATTCGGGAGAGATATAAAAATTTGATGGCACGCGAGCTGGATAAGGGGATGAATCGGAATGACTAAAGGGGGATAGGGTGATCAGGTGAATTCCACGGGTGCAAAACGATTTATGAGAAACGAACATCCGGCTGTAAAATAACACTTCCCATTCAAATCGGCAAATTAATGGTCGTTTTCATGGATTCTTTGTTTGCACCGTCCCGACAATGGCTCGCTGCTGGGTTATTATTCTGAAATACTACTATGTCCACCGAGTTGGGGCAGAATTCGCGGAACGTACGCGGCCATCCCTTGTCGACAACTTTTTTCCCACGACCACGTCGCCAAGGCTGAATTAGAAACAAGGGATTTGCTTGTGGAAACGTATAATCCTCCTCTAAACGCGCACCGTTGCGTAATTTTATCAAAATTTTTAACATATCTGGTCCATGAATCGAGAGAGAGAGAGAGAGAATATACAAAAAGTTGAAACGTACGTTTCGTTCAATTATTTACAAAATTATAGTAAAGTTATAGTAACTTCT